AAAAAAATCAAAATCCTTTTCAGAAATCAAAGGAACACATATGCAATTTTATGGAATGAGAGGTTTCCTCATTCTACAATTGAAAATAAAACTTAAAATAAGTAGATAGGTAATAAGGTAGATAGACAGATAATGAATAACAGACATAAGATTTATAGATGATAGATAGATAGATAGATAGATAGATAGATAGTTTTAAGGAAACAAAACACGAGCAGCTTTTAAAAGGAAAAGAAAAAAAGAGAAAGCCAGTTAAGCTCATTAAATTGTTGTAACATGAACTTTTTGCATTAGTAACTAAAATTCAAACTTCTTTCAGACTCCTGATCCTCTTGATGTTTCTTCTCTGTTTAAGGGCTCCAGGGCCACATTATAATTATTTGTCATTTTAGGCTTCTCTGTTTTGTTAGTATTTAGGATTTTTCTTAGTTTTGATGACTGTGACAGTTTTCTTCAACCAATGTATTGGGTTTATTACATGAACACTACACATCCCCTTCTGTGTTAACTTTAGTGCACTACATACTGTATGGTATGTATTATATGTATACTATACACCACCCTAGTGCCAAGTTTATTGCATGCACACTACACACCACCCTGTGTGTTAAGTTTAACACATGGACACCACACACCACAGTCCTATTTTACTCCACTCTCAAGAGTTCAGAGTTGGGAGTACACACTATACTGTGATGAAATGTTGCATGGTCTCTGTCCCTTTCTCATGGTGAAGCTTGCTCAATGTTTCATTCTTCAGTAATTTTAGAGGGACAGAGAACTGGCCAAACAATCAGTTCCCACCTGTGCTTTATTCACCTCCTCTAAAACTAACACCCCACATGATCATTTTCAAAACCCAGGAATTAACTCTGGCTACTGTTCTTGGGTTTTGGTCAGAACTTACAGACAAGTATACATATGTATGGTATACAGACGGATGTTTCAATAACTTAAAACAATAATTTAACAAAAATTTGAGTAATTAGCGTATCCACCTCAAACATTTATCATCCCTTCAAAGTAAGAACATCAAAAACCTCCTCCCATTTTGAAATATAAAATATATTACTGTTTGACCCTGAAAGCTTTGAAAAGTCTTTGTAGAAACTCTCAATTACTTCAGATGTGATTGTGAACATCTGTAATCCCAGAATTTAGGAGGGGAGAGGCAGGAGGATCTGTCCCTAAAAGCAATCCCAGTTCTGTAAGAGTCTGAGGTCAGCCTGAGCTACATACATGAGATGCTTTCTCAAAAAATAAAACAAAAGCCAGAAACTCAAACTTAGTATCTGCCTGATACTTGACTTATCATCATACAGGATTTGGGGGTGATGGGTTTCTGCAAGGAAGGTCAGAGAAGTAAAGTACCACTTGTGCACGTGTTCAGGGTGACCTACTGTGGTCACATCGCAGTCTGTGTGAACATTCACTGAAGTGATACCTACTGACTCCTCCCCATAAGGTCATTTGCCCACTCTGTCTGCACACTATGCTAAGCAGAGGAGGCCATAAATTAACTAGTATTCTATAGAGTGTTCTAGATGTTCTATGTAAAATACATAGTATTCTTTGTAAGTTTCTTCTGAGGGGTCCTTACCTCTCTCCCTCCCTCCACTTAGTTTCTAGGCAATCTCGTGTCTAGGCTCTCACACTTCCTGGCGTGAACTTGCAGACTGTGTACTTCATACTTTAAGTTATACTGTGCAATGCCTGTCATCTCTAAGTATGCCTATGTTATAAACTTCTTTCATATATCCTCCCATGATCTTATATTTCTTTCTTATTAGTTGCTCACTTTATTCCAGGATTCTCCATTTTCAACTGGCTCCTTCAACACCTGACAGACCACTGTCATGTATACATTTTATTTGGGGGAGCAGAGGTTGCTGTTGGGTACTTCTATACTTTCTGGAACTACAAACAACTCCAGGTTCGTAGTAGAGGCTTCACAGTTGAGCCCTAGAAGTAGTTCTTCAAAAATTCCAGGTCATTGTGATGGAGAATGGCATTAAGAACCATGACTTAAACTTAGGTACTCCCACTGCTGATAGAGTTTAATTCTTAGAGACTGTTCAGCTGACTGACCAAGGAGATTAAGTGTGTGTGCTAACCTTTGAATCTTCAGATATCTATATTTATTCTTTGTAGCTTTCTGTATTTACATTAAGATAAGCATGGGTTTATAGTGATGGATTGGTCATTTCCATGCACACCTGATCTAGCAAAAAAAAAGAATTCTTGGAGCCTATGAGATGGTTCAGTGAGGAAAGGTACTAGCCACCAACCCTGATGGCCTGATTTCAATCTGCAGGAACCATGTGATGGAAGAAGAGAACCAGCTCCCACATACTGCAAATACAGGCCTTGGTACTAGACAGAGACAACTATTTAAAGACTCCCCTGAGGATAACAGTTAACTTCACATGTAGGAAATGCTGCCAATGCTAAGAAATCCCCTGTGTATCTAGCAAGAGTAAACACAAATTCTATTGAAAGGTTTGCCCTGTAAACCCACAGAAGAACTCAAACAAAGCATAAGGACCCAGCCAACAATCACCAAAAACCCTTGTGTGGAGGTACTAGTCACAAAGAATCATACCCACATGAAGTCCATTTAGATGCAGTGTGGGAGTGCATAGCGTTGCCTGGGCTAGGGGAAAGAAAAGGCAGAGGCACGCGTGTGCTAGAATGAGGAGGATAATGAGGTACAGTTTTCTGGGGGGTGGGGGCTGAGACAGGGTTTCTCTGTGTAACAGTCCTGGCTATGTCCTGGAACTCGCTTTTGTAGACCAGGTTGGCCTCAAACTCAGTGACATCTGCCTGCCTCTACATCTAGAGTGCTGGGATTAAAAGTGTGTGGCTTCTTTTTAGAGCAGACGGAATGTTATAGAATGCGATTGTGACAATGTTTGGGGATCCTTATGAGCACATTAAAAATATAAAATAGGTGAATTATGAGGTTATGGAATCATAGCACAGAAAGTATATTAATAGAGGAATTAGTAAAACTAAAAAATTGTGGGTTGTTTAATAGTTAAAGTCATAATGTTGGTCATTTTAGTTTTTATAAATATAGCAATGATAGGACTTTCTCAGGAGCTGAAGAGAGTTCCTTAAAAGTTAGCAGAACAGAGAAGCAGCCTTCAGTGTTCAAGGTACTCTTCAGGAAATGAGTCTCACTGATATCCCACCCCACCCCAATGATACCCCACCCTGCCCCACTGATACCCTGCTCTGCCCCACTAATACCCCACCCTGCCCCACTGATATCCAACCCTGCTCCACTAATACCCCACCCTGCCCCAGTGACACCCTATCCTGCCCCACTGTTACCCCCACCCTGCCCAGTTGCCTAAATGGCATGCTGAGGTCTTCCTGGTAGCTGTTCCATGATCATATGGCTTTGTGCCCTTCTTAGCCAATCCATCTTGCTTCCTTTGGTCCAGCAGTCTTTGGCCAACCTGATTTTCTTAGAACCATTTTCCTTGCCCTTTCCTAACGTCTCCAATTCGTCTAGAAACCACCATGTGGAAGCAAACCTAGACACACATTACTCGAGACTAATAGGTGTTTGAAGGTTGCCAAGTACACAGGATGTGGCTTTACAACTCTGATAAAGTCATGAGAAGTTCATTTCTAAATTGCTTTATAACCCACTGCTTTTCTCCAAATTCTCTCTGTAATTTCTACTAGATAAGACACACAATTGTAACCCCTTATTTATTGTCATGAGTCAGGGCCACACCTTGTGTCTTGATGAAGTGACTGTTTTTCATTTACAACCTCATTAGCTTATAAACTAAGACAACAAAACCAGAGTCAAATAAAGCCATCTCTAAAGACACTCTAAATGCTGAAGTGGAAAAATGACAAATACAGCAAATTAAGTTCTGTAAAGTGGGAAATTAACCATAAAACTGAGAATATGGACTAAGAATGTAGCTTGGTTGAAAGAGTGCTCGCCTACCATACACAAGGCTCAGTGTCTGAGCCCAAGCATCAAATAAGGCAAGCATGGTGTTGCATGCCTATACTCCTGGAACTCAGGGGTAAAGACAGGAAGATCAGAAATTCAAGGCTATCTTCCCATACATATAAAGTTTGAAGCCAACTTAGAAGGCATGAGTTTCTATCAAAATGGAGGAGTAGGAGTATGAGGAGGAGGATAAAGAAGGAGGAGGAGGAGAGGGAGAAGAACAAGAAGAAAGACTGCGTAAAATGTTTATAAAACAGAAAGCAAGAGTAGTCAAGTTTGGCTTTGCAACTTTTGTAAAACCTCGTGTCCCACACATTAAAATTTAAGAAAAATTTTAATTTAATTTTCCCTACATAATCTACCCAATAAGAGTTGGTTTCCCTTTTGTTAAATAACCTATAGGTAAATTGACAGCTACTATTGGGAGGCAAGGCCCATCAGTGTTTCCTTCACATGGAGAGAGAGGCTAAAAAGCTCATCCCTGACAAACCAGAGTGAAAAGCTGTTCTTTGCAAGAACCCTTCTCCAGAGTAACATTCAAGTTCCTAAGACATTCTGCCTTTACTCTAACAGGGAAGAAGAGTCTAGAATCACAAAGGCCAATCCACTTTGGCCGACACACACCAAATGAACCCTTTCATTTGGAGAAATAATTAAACTGAAAAATACACAGCTCTGACCTTGCAGTCAAGTCCACTGAAAAGTAGAAATGGAAATGAAGGTATTTAGTTTGTGGTGGTCCTGGCTCTCTTTATCCTAAAGCCAAGCCATCCTTAATACCACCCAAGGTACTGAAATCACACAGCTTGGTGGCCTGAGAGAGTCTACTTTCACAGTGTCTCAGCTTTTGGCTAAAATCAAGTGTAGCACATGTTCTTATCAGTTTAATATCCAGTGTGTCTTCTGTCTACCAACAATAGAGTCAATGGATTGTTTTTTTAACAGCAACAAAGATTAAGAGCCTTCTCCATCTACCCCATGGATCCTCCTGGTACTAGAATGCCTCCAAGAATGCACTCACCAAATAACAATAATTGTAGAGTATCATTTCCTGTGGATGTGGATTATCAAGACTTCGGGCTAAGTGCCATACTCAGTAAGCTGGCTAAAGACGGAGCCTGACGCGCAGGGATGCTGGAATCCATGTCCACATGTGTCTCACTTCGTCATCTATGTGCATGGGGCGGGGGCAGTGAAAACAAGTCTCTCCTCTCAGAGCTCCCACCTGAAGGGGCTATCAGGACTCTCTGTGTTCCCAGGTCAGGGGATCAGAAATCCTGCCCAGCCCTCTGGCTCCAAACAGCAGGTCCATGTGTACCAAAGGCCGTGGCTGATCCTGAAAGGACAGAGATGGAACGGAAAGGGGGTAAAGGAGGTCGGTCAGGTTTCCTCAAGGTCCCACCAGCTGATATGAATCCGTTTCTAAGAAATCGGGGTAAGTGGGGAATAGTAGAGGGGAAAAAGCAAGCTGAAGAACTTTAGGTTGTCACGTGTGCAGAGAGCAGACAAAAATATTCTGGGTACCTGTAGACACAGATTATGTCTGAAACAGGGAAGGAGAACAGCTGTTGGAAATGGACCAGGAGAGAGACTGGCCTGCACTAGTCTAAAAAATAATTTTTGTTTGTTCATTTGTTTTGTTTTGAGACTCTGTCTCACTCTACACCAAGGCTAACCTGGTACTCACAATGTATCCATGGCTGGCATCAAACTCAGAGTGATCCTCCAGCCTCAGCCTCTACAGTGCTGAGATAATTCTCATGAGTAACCATGCCTGACAGAAAGGCTAATTTTCCAAACTCATCTACAACTAAAAATAAAAATTAATGATAAAACATTTAATATTCTAGAAACATACATACTAGATTCCTATTGTTGGCTTCAATAAACAAATACAACAAAAACAAAAGAGTAAAAACTAAGACACAATCAGGGAGTTAAAAAAAAGTCTTAGGAACAAAGAGGTTTAGACTGGGGGAAAAAGTCTTAGGAACAGAGAGGTTTAGACTGGGACAAGTGACTTCACCGCATGACCTTTGGATCTGGTGAGTTCCTCCTTACAGCCCCTCTCTGGATACCTCAGCTGAGTCATCCCTGAGTCATCTGCCACTGCTGCAGAATGATCCAGAAGGACCAAGTAGAGAAGGAAGGAACCCCAGACAGCATGTTTAACCTGAACCCCTGGTGTGAAATGAGAGTGTGGGACAAGCTAAAAGCCGATGCGTCACATCACTTGTCCCTTTGGTCTTTTCTAAACTTGACCAGAACCTGAGCACAGAGCTCTGTGTTGTTTAGGTCACTAAACCTAAAGATAGAAGATGCTGGTAGCAGACTGATGCAGGGTTCCCAGCGGCTCAGCCCAGAAATCTGAATTCAGTATCTTAAGCTGGGTTAATGCTAGCATGGACTTTCAAATCCATACCTATGGCAGACAGGATCACAAACACACAAAAGATCAACCGCTGAAAACTTAAGTAATGCTTCAAAGAGAGCTCGGGTATTACAAGGAAGTTGGTCAATAATTCACCAAGCCCACATTTTTTTTAAGAGAACTAAAAGTTCATTAGAAATGGGTTAATAAGTTCAGTTGGGGCAGTCACAGTTCAGCCTGGGGTTTGGCAGTCTTTTAATAAAACACACTTTTACTTGAAGCCTAGTCTTATGCTCCTGGCAAAATTTGTAGAAATTGTCTTTAGACTGAAGAAAGTTTTCCCTGTATCTCTCTACTCAGAAGCCTAACTTGCTGAAACAGATCTCTTTTCTGAACGACACACACTGAGTTTGCACAATTTGCTGCCACCGAAGATGTTTGCAGATTGTATCTCTTCAAGTATAATCCGTCCCTATGATTTCTCTTATAGAGTTATTTAAGAGATTTTTTTATGTGTGATCTGACTGTAAACACATAAAGTATTAGAGGTTGTATACACATATCGGAGACAACTTATGCAGAAACCACACAGAAATCAACAGTCATATCCAAATATGGTACTTCAGCTCCATACTATGAGACGAGGAATGGAGTATGGCATAATTAAGCATAATTAGATTATCAGTAATGGAGCCAGAAACTAAAAACAGATCTAATCAGCGTGAAATTAAAGCTCTAAGTAATACATAGGACTAACTCCCTTGGCAAAAAAGAAAAGAACAGAAAAAACTGCTTCCCAAATTTATCTCAACTTAGTCATTCATTCCAGACCAAGAATGTAAATAAATTCCAATCACAATTCAACAAACATATATTTAGCTCCCACTGTGTTGTATGCATACAAAGGTGGGCCACACTCACTCTCCCTGATGTTAATAAAAACTGACTGGAGGCCTTGGTTGAAAATCAGCTTCGGCTCTTAGACCCAGAGCCTTGTAAACCAGAGCAGGGTCGCTGGTATGAGGAGCCACGCACACAAAAATCAACCTCAAAATGAACCAGTGGGCTTTTTTGTTTGTTTGTTTTGTGTTGTGTTTAAAGGAGGGCTTATAGCAAGCAAAGCTACATAGGTCCCTCCCAGGGGTAGAGAATGTAGATCAGTAGATAAAATACTTGGGCTTAGTATGTGTGAAGTTCAATTCCCTGGGTTTGACTCCTAGCAACCCAGTCACCTTATAATATAAAGTAATTTTGAGTTTACTATTTGATTGTGTGTGTGTGCACGCGCGCGCATGTGCACACACGTCACACCATCAGAGAATCTTTATTCAGACTTTGTGGCAAACACCTTTACCTGCTGAGCCATCTTACCAGTCCTGAAAAAATAACTTTGACATGTCTGTTTTTGTTTCTTGTTTCTGCTTCCCTTAGTCATTCTGCCTGTATAGCCACCTCCTCTGTACAACTCAGATTCCTAAACCACCAATAAAAGACAATCAGGTCTTTAAACTCTGTTTGCTGACACTCTGTTCTGGGATGGTGATCACTATCCTCAAAGAATGTGACTCTTTCTGAAGTCTCAGGGCCTGGGCTGAAACTGCTTTGTCTAGAATATTCTGCTTATTCCACCTAGCCCAGAACTCCCCCACAAATTTCTCTTTTCTCTCTCCTTCCCCCGTAGCATTCCTTCTTGTGTTGGGGGTACCCAGAGGTTCTGAGACCTACGCATGGAGTACACACATACTGAACACGTTGACACTCCAAGAAGCAATTTAACAAGCATCTACAGGTCCTCCTAAAAGCACAGACCATGTTAATCTCTGCACTTCACAGAAGCAAGGCGTACTTGGTCACTGAGTCCTTGAAGTACTCCATGCATAACTCTTCAAAGAAGTCTTTCAGTGTTGGGTGAGGCAGAAGACACTGAATAACAATACACACCTAAGACAAGGAAAGTGGTACAATAATAAGAAAGGGGAATCTGCACTATCAAAGAGTGGGGATTAGCGGTGTGATTCGGTATTACAGTATTTACCTGGCATTCATGGGGCCCTAGGTTCAATCCCAGCACAGGAAACAAACCACTGACTTTATTTAATATGTTGGAACACTCAAGGGAAATGATACTTGGTGTTTATTACTATTACTTTATGTAAATTACCCATCTTTTGTGAATGCCAATAAAATGTAAACCACAGGTAAGATCATAATTTTTGTTGTTGCTGATTTGGTTTGGGTTTTTGTTTGTTTGTTTGAGATGAGAGGTATCTCACTATATCTAGGGCAGCCCTGGCTGTCCTAGAACTCACTATGTAGACCAGGCTAGCCTCGAACTCACAGAGATCCACTGCTTGCGCCTTTGCCTCCCAAGTGCTGAGATTAAAAGTGTGTGCCACCATATTTGGCATAATTTTCTTTTTAGAAACCCAAATGTGCATGCCTTTAATTCCAGCACTCAGGAGGCAGAGGCAGGCAGATCTCTGTGAGTTCAAGACCAACCTGGTCTACAAGAGCTAGTTCCTGGACAGCCTCCAAAGCCACAGAAAAACCCTGTCTCAACACCCCCCCCAAAAAAGAAAAGAAACCCAAATGTACGTTAGGCATGAATGCAACTATTTATATATGATGACGTCTGCTGTTTTATTCCTTTATCAGGAGACTGTATTCTCACTCAAACTTAACCTTTTTTCAAACTCTAAGGTGCTGAGCACAGCTGAACAGTCATCAGGAATCTGTATAAATTTTAAAATATAATAACCATGACAGTTACAAAAAGAACTGTGGGAAAACAAAGAACTCTGCCAGGTTCTGGGGGAGAGGAGACCAGGGGGACAGGAGGCCGACAAGAAGGCACAGGCTAGCCATAACATGCCAGGGAAGGAGTGTGCGCATACAGAAGCTGGAAGCTGTGAAGACATTGGAGGGACAGGGAGTGAGCCACCCACTGGGGTGAGAAGATGGCTCCGTGTGGCTGGGACACAGCACAGTAACGACACAGAGCCTTCAGCCACAGCATGGTGTTCAAATCCTGCCTCTCTCTTCCCCTTTGTAACTGCAGAACTACAGACAAGTCCCACGGATCCTGAGGATGTGTTCTTTCATTTGAAATTTGGGGAATGCCTCTGAAGTGTGTGTGCGTGTGTACACATGTGTTTGCTGATTCATGTGTACACATGCAGGTGTAGAGGCCAAGAGTCAACTTGGGCATTGTTCTTAGCAGTCTAGCTTATTGAGTCTGGATCTCTCCATAGGACCTGAGACTTGTCACCTGAGCTAGGCTTGCCCTGGAGATCTGCCTCTCTCCACCTCCCTAACACTGAGATTGCAAGTACCTGATGCTTTACCAAATGAGCTATCTCCCCCAGCCTCCGCCTTTTGAATACTTAGTTTGTATATCAGTTCATTAAGATCCTATATCCGTAACAATTGGCTAGATGTCAATAGCATAAGCCTTTAATAGGTAGAGCTGATAATGTCCTTAAGCCAGACAGGTAAGTTGAAGCTGAGATATAAAGACCACCTCTTGTCCACAACCCAGGGAATACATGGTCACACAGACAAACTTCAGGCCACTACACTGTGACATAAACCAATATTCTACATAAGGGGCACCCTAAAGAACCTAGGGTGAAGACTGTTCATCTTCCTGCTGCATATGTACCTTATCTAAAAGCAGACGCTGGGTGAGCGGTACCCCCATCCCACCAGTCTTGTCCTGTCCAATGGTATAGAATGTAAAGTTTATACCTATGTGGCCTAACACACCATCATGATGTTCTCTAGCTGCTCCAAAAGTCACATTCTACCTCCCATTGCCATCTCTTCAGAAGCACAAAGGAATTTTCCACCACAGTCATGTACTGCTCTAGGAAAGACTGAAACCTCAGAGGGAGGTCTTTGGACTCATTGAATTCTGGTGCTTTGGGGAGACACCTGCACCTCCCTGGACTTCAGACTTGGCATGC